GGATAGGTCCTCTCGCGCTTCCTCCGCAACGGGTGCATCAACCACTTCTCCATCTACGAGACACCACTCCCCGTCACCAGAATCTATTACAATAATAGGTGGTAGGAGGAGAAGATGTGGGTACACTACATATAGCTTAGTCAGTAGTACAATGTGATTGCTCCATGTAATGATGGAGTTTTTCCTAGTGCGAAGAAAACAGACCTAGCTCAACCGATGGAGATCATCATCATCATCATCATCATCAGAGTGTGGTTCTTGTTTAACAAGCATTTTCAGTGTCCTTGACTGCAGCAGCTAGCTAGCAGGGAGAAAATAGATGAAGAAGAAGCAAGCAATTCGTCGTCCTGTCACCAATCATTAGGCTTCTGGGCCTTCTCTGGCCATCCAGTGGCCAGAGTGTGTGTAATCGTCAAGAACACACTTGGTGCCAGGCCGGCGAACTTAACCACCGTCGATAGCAGCAGCTAGGCTCTCTCCCTCTTTTGATTCCACCAGCAACAATAATGCGAAGTACGTTCGTTTTTCACGTGAGATGGGTCAGTTTGCAACATAGTTCCTTGTCACTTTTGGTAGGGGAACAACGACAGGAACCGATCCATCGGTCGCCGCCGGGCCTGCTGGTCGCTTTCGAATCTACGTTCATATATGCAACAAGCAACATGTTATTTATATTTATATATGTACACTACTGTGTATATATTTCGACAGGTTAACTACGAGGTTGTCTTAATTTGGTCTTACAATATATACTGTAAACATGGTCCAGGGAGGTTATTATTTGTAGATTCTGGGCCTCGTTCACTTTGCAAAAAAAGTGAACCCGATGAATAGTATCACTTTCGTCTTATTTGGTAAATATTGTCCAATCGTGGACCAACTAGGCTCAAAAGATTCATCTCGTGATTTTCAACTAAACTGTGTAATTAGTTTTTTTTTTACCTACATTTAATACTCCATGCAAGCGGCTAAAAATTGATGTGATGGAGAGAGAGTGAAAAAACTTGGAATTTGGATGGCATCTAAACAAGGCGCTGATGATGGAGTCATTATGTGTCGTTGTGATTACCAAACTGACAACTTATTGGTTTCCTCATCAGTTTCAGGCTTTCAGCACACAACTGAAATCAGCCCACCTATCTCAACCTATTCAAGAAAAAAAAAACATTTGCATCGCAAGCACATAAATCAGCACAGGAGACACAAGATTCTTTTAATTTTTCTTATGTGGAAACTAAATCCTACAAACACTACTACTACCGCATAAAGACCATCACAGAAGGATCTTAGCGTGAAAAAAAAGGATCTTAGCGTGCTCCACAAAATTTGGAAAAGGAAGTAAGGTGTGGTCATACACTCAATTACCTAGCAGGTTAGAGTACTCTCCAACTTGAATTTCGGTGCCTATTTTTCTTCTTTATTTATTAGTTCCTCCTAGATTGGTCACCTTTTTTTAGAAAACTAGGAAAATAAAAATTACAAATTTCTGTCTGTGGCTTGAATCGTGTGTGTGTGTGTGTGATGGTCCTCATCAAGATAATAACACAAGCTAGAGGCACATATTCATGAACATTATTTCTCAGCCTTGGACAACAAACAACAAGATTCCGAGATGCTAGGGTTCGAATATGGGAGGATCTCGCGCCAAGATGCATGGTACAACAACTGATTGGAGGCACCAAGGGTGTGGATCTCCACCTAGCTTCTCAATCTTTGGAACCAAATCCTCTTGCTTGCAAGATCTCCTCTCTAGTCTTTTTTCCATCTTTTTCTCCTCGCTCTTGGAAACTCTTGTCTTGAGTCTTGACAGAAGGCTGAATTGTTGTCTTCCATATATAGAGCTCTTCAGTCTTCTCCTTCTCTTGTAAGCCAACACAAGAAGTGACAATCGTACCAACGTTTGGTCCACAGCTTTAGGTTACATTCTCTTCATGTGGGCCTATATACACATTCATCTCCGATCCACGGTACGCATATGTGTTGTGCACATCAGTTCGTCCTCTTCATGCGTACTAACACGAAACTAGCAACTGAAGCCCTTACGAAATGTCTTGTCTGAAGTTCGGTCGCAACAAGCATGCGCAATGGCCATTTGTTTCCTTGTACAGTACAAACAACACTATTGCGTGTTTGCACTGCACAGCACTACGTACCTGGCCGGATTCTGAGAGTCTAAAGCAAGTCAATGCATTCAACCTATATACAAGCTAGTAATGTGAAGATGCATAAGTAGGTAGTACGATATACTTTTTTTCGAGAACACGACTTCACGTGTATTTCATTAAGAAGAGGTAGTAAGATGTATTGAGAAATATACGCCCTGTTCGCTTGGCTTATAAGCCGTACTTTTTCAGCCAACGAACAGTATTTTTCTCTTACAACAAATCAGTCAACAGTACTTTCAGCCATGACTTATCAGCCAAGCTAACATGCCAATAATTGTTGATCACCGTATTATTGGTAGGGCTGCAGAAAGTGCCCACACAGCAGCATCCTTTGAAGTGCTGCATTGCCCGTCTTTCTTCATGGAAATCATCAGCTTAGCCTTTTAAGCTGGAGGACAAGGACCACATGTTTTGGACCATAAATCAAGAAGAGCCGACAGGTGCAGCGTGCAAATCCAAGTTCAACCATGAGTCTGACATGGTTATCAAAAATGTTGATGGATAGAGTCTCTCTGTAACCTACCATTTGCTTTGTTCCTTGACCAGCTGGTTTCTTCGCAGCCTTGATTTGTTGTGTTGTTCCTTGACCTGTGTGTCGAGCTAGGTCGGGGCGATGTAGCGGCATTAACCGCATCGTGTAAAACTCGTCTTTGCTTCTAAACCGTAAATTGTTTTTGCTTTTCTAGACACATAGATATATACTATGTCTAGATATACAGTAAAAATTATGAATTAAAAACAAAATGACTTATAGTTTGAAACCGAGGAAGAACATTAATACACAAAGAAGCGCAACCCTACAGTGTTTTGGATAAATTTAAAATCATTTTGCTTTGTTTTCCAACATATATAACCCATTTTGTTATCGTGTTCCAAAAAAAAACGAATCTTAATTAGGTGTGTAGCTCTGTCAGCATATTTTATATACATACTTTTTCCTGAAATGATCGTGTATATATATGTATATGTATGTTCCAAACCACCTGCAGTAATCGTATTAGCAGAGGTTCTTGGTACTAGGTACATGTCACTCTTCTACCTACACTTTGAACACACTGGTAGTCTGGTACGCATGTCACTCTTGTACCACCCCAGACTCTATCTAAACTCTTATTAGCTCGGTGAATTCTTCGTCACTGTCCAATAGCATCCATCTACCGCCACCATGCATATGGTCGCCGCTATCACCAAATTCCCCCATGCATGCATGCACGCACACATGCCGTGCGGTAAGAATAATTAACTTAAGCTTCTAGATTTCTGACTGCAGCAGCACGCAACTTTTCTCTGAAAACTTTTCGATGTACACACACACACACATTCCATACGTGCATGGGTGCGTGACACACGTGACAACCCCTGGCATAAAAATTCTCGCTTACCTAGGCTATCATGGAGCAGTATAGTAACAAAAAGCTAGGTTAAAGGTATGGAGAAGAAACAAAACCCAGATCGTGGAAGATTTTAACACCAGGGATTGACCGCGACAAGGCGATAAAAGTACTCGTCCATGTGGCACGAGCTAGCCAGCAGGCAGCTGACACGAGCGGTGTCCGGTGTCGAAACATCCACCATGAGCAATGCTAAATATGCTCGCTCGCTCGATAAAGCTAGGTAGCAAAACTTGGTGGCCTGCCTTCACATCTCCTTTTTGGCCACCCTCTCTCCATGATATATCTCTATAAAACAGCTGGAGGGGGCAAAGGGGCCTGCCTTTTTCCCAACTATTTTCCTGTTGTCACGACACCAGAGAACGATTTCCATATAAATTAACAGCGCAGCGAAAAACTAATAATAAGGATTCTTTAGATTCTGTTTGGATCCATTGGTGCTAATATAGCTAAAAAGATACAACTATTAGCTAGCTAATCATCAGTACAGGTTGTTTGAATCTACTAGTGCTAATAGTTAACTAGCGAATAGCTAAAAAGCTACTGACTATTAGTGCTAATAGTTAACTAGCTAGTAGCTAAAAGCCCACTAACTAGTAGGTAGCTAATCATTCGTAGAGGCTAGCTATTTGGATCCATCTGCTAATAGATGGTTGAATGAACTATTAGAACCTGTCAGCACCCTTTCATCAACTAATGAACTAATTTTTAGCATCTACACTTGCTAATAGTAATCAAGTTTGGAGGCATGTATTTGGATTTCTACATGCTAACTATTAGTACTAATAGGTCCAAACGAGTCTATATAAATCCTCACGGTAGTTAACAATTAATGCACCACACGAGCTATAGCAATAGAAATGACAAATGAGATGAAATGATATCACATCTCACTGCACTAGAAAACCCAAAAGCGGTTTGTAATAATATAGCAAGCTATATAGCTTAGTTACAAATGGTAGATGCATGGACAATAATGTATATATATGTTCTCTACTAGCTAACTACCACGCTGTCCTTTAATCACAATGTCTTTTTTTTCCCTCCGTTTCTTTGTGCTTACACACAGATGGACCACACTGCCACTGCACACCTCGAGCGAGCGAGCTCAAGCTCAGCTCACTTTGGAGTTTGGACGGACACGCATCAGCAACAGCTCCTGTACGTCTGTCCGGCCATAGATGTATGTCTCCCTAGGATTTATTCATGCACGTACGTACGTGTGTAGTATGTACGTACACGTGTGCGTCCTAGCGTGCAATACGTACGTACGGCGGCCATGCACTACGGGAGCACGGCGCACTAGCTAGGGCACGCACGCATGCAATAAGCACACACATGCATGCATGTTACTGGTCGAGTAGTTAGTGGTGCGGCATGCAAGCATGCATGCATGCATACGCCATGGATGTCGGGGCTAGCTGTTGGTCGGCAACTAGATCGACTAGAAGTTGTTCATCGTCAAGTCCTCGTGCAACGCCGACACCGACCTCGCCAGGCTCCACAGGTCGCCGTCGACGGCGGCGGAAGCGTGCGCGGACGAGGAGGAGGAGAAGGTGGCGGCGGCGGCGGCGCTGGGCTCGACGTCGAAGAAGGCGGCCATGTTCTTGGACGCGTCGAAGAGGCCGTTGAGCTCGTACGCGGCGAGCCGGTCCAGCGCGTCCCAGTCGGCGATCCCCGAGGCATCGGCGGCGGCTCCGTACTCGCACGCCCCCGGCGGGCTCGGGAGCAGCCCGCCGCCGCCGGCGTGCTCGAGGGGCGGGAGCTTCATGAACTTCCCGTAGAGGCCGCCGGCGGGGGCAGGACAAGCGGCGGTCGTCGTAGCAGCTGCTGCAGCAACGTGGTGGTGGTGATGATGGTCCAGCAGCGCCGGCTTGGTGTCCGGCTGCTTGCTGCCGCCGCCCATGTACTGCAGGATGTGGTCGAGCGCGTCGTCGCTGGCGGAGTGCTGCAGCATCGCCTGCGCCTGCTGCTTGTTGGAGTAGTCGCTGACGGTTACCGACGAGCAGTGGCTCGGGCTGCTCTCCATGGGCGCCGCCGCTGCCGCCATTTTGGATCCTGCTGCTGTCACGCTGGCGGCACCGCTGCTCTGGCCGTGGTGCACGAGGTTCTTCTTCTTGAAAACTCTGCAGATCACCCACCCCTCCTGCTCCTGCGTTGCTTGGTCTCCCGCTGCGCCACGGATCTGCATGCACCAAGTTCACCAATTCATCAGCAAACATACATGAGATCGATCAATTTGCGTGAAAAAGAATAAAGCAAGACATATAAAGTCAATACTACAAGTATGAAGGGAGTCGCTATATTCCAGGTGGCTGAATTTTCAGGCCACGATCTTAAACAACCAACTAGTACAAAATCGACGGGACAAATCATGAGTCACAATTCATAATTTCTTATATAGTGAAACAATAACAAAATTACAATAGTCCGGCATTAAAATCAGGCAGCTAACATATACAGGGAGTGAAGGGTTAATTCTCAGCATGCATGCAATTAGTTATCTGTCTAGATTATTACTGGCAATCTATAGTGGTGTGTGTGTGTGTGTGTGTGTGTGTGTGTGTGTGTGTGTGTGTGTGTGTGTGTGTGTGTGTGTGTGTGTGTGTCTTCATGATGCTGCATGGTAAATTTGTTTTCCTTATAGGGTTAAAGGATGGAAATCTGAAGCATCCAAAGCTGGATGGTCCATTTCTGCAAAAGGAGTTAGCTAGCTAGCTGCATGCTGCTCCAATATAATCCCGGTGGTACCACTACCACACTACCTAAATAAGCAGATAATAGCCTAGCTAGAACCACATGCAAGATATCGATCTGCATGATGATCACTCATTCTTCAGAGAGCCAGCCAGCTCAAAAGCTGCCTGCCCTCTGTCGTCGCCGTCGGTCCTCCTCAGCAGGGTTGACCTCCGGAAAGGAAAAGATACTACACAGAATATACGGTACAGACACTTGTCTGTCGTATGCCCGTTGTCCACGAGTGCAGCTAGTGCAGGTACGCATCCTTGTGTGGAAGTCATCGCTGGACCTGGACCTGGACCAGCAGGAAGCAGGCCATGCATATCTCTATCTCGTCGTCACCAATCATGCACGTACGTACACACGCTTGTTTGGCAGTGGCCGTTCGTTAGAGATAGAGCACTGGATCAGCAGAGCAGTCGCCGTAGGTTAGCATGCAGGTCAGCAGGGGCAGGTGGTACAGCAGCATTCCCTTTGTGTGTGTGTCCTACACTCCTGATGCTGTCCCGGCCGGGGCCGGCGGCCGGCGGCGTGCGGTGGTGGTACAGGTACGGTACGGCCGTGTGTGGTTGGCTCGCCGGCCGCGTGCGTGCGTACATGGGGCAGGCGTGTCGTCTGCGATCTTGCTGGTGGCGCGCGGATCGGGTTGTGTGTGCGTGGCCAGGCCAGGGCCGCCTGCCGCGCCCAACCCAACCACCCCGAGGCCAGGCCAGGCTGCAGCGGGCCGGCCGGGCTACCTAAGCTAATGGCTGGTCGTTCCTTGAAACGTACTGCAGCAGCACGAACCTACCCAACCTGGCCTCGTCCGTCCGTCCCCTTTCCTTTGCTGTGGTGACGACGACGACGACAGCGAGAGTGAAAGCAACACTCCCACTCGCGGGAGGGACATGCCTGCCCCATTTCCAACAACCAACCAATCAGCTTGGCAGCGCCATGGATCGCGACCTCAGCTACAGCAGTCGCGCGCGCGCGCGCGCGCGCACACACACACACTAGTCGTCGTCTTTCCCTCTCTCTCTAGCTACTAGCTACTACGCGTACGATCGAGAAGAAGCTAGCCTGCTTCTTCGTCCTCGTCGTGGCCGGTCGCCGTCGTCGTGGTCACTTGAACAGTTGCATGCAAGTTCGTACGTACGTACGTACGTACGTACACTCGTACAGGGACTAACTAGCTACCTGCTAGATCAGATAGTAGTAGTACAAAGAGAGTAGTAGTACGTACTGCGGTAGGAAGAGCAGGCGGCAGCGACGAGGTGTAGTAGGGATGATCGGCGGCGGCGGTGGCCGGGTGGTGCGCGGCACTACCGGCAGCGTCGGCGTCGAGAGCCGCCTCGAGGCGGTACTCGTGCATGATCCAGTCGGACTTCTGGCCGTGCGGGGCGCGGCCCTTGTAGAAGACGAGCGTCTTGCGCATGCCGATGCGGCGGGCGCCCGAGGCGTAGATGGCCTTGTCGCGGCCGGTGGCCTTCCAGAACCCGGCGGCGGTGGCGCGGTTCGTGCGCGTCCCCGTCGGGTACTTCTTGTCCTTGTGGCTGAAGAAGTACCAGTCGTTCTGGGGGCCAGAACCGATGCGGCACTTCTCTGCACAGAATCGGAGAGATGTCCGTCCATCAGCACAGACAGCAGGCGACCACCAGCTGCAAGCCTATGCATTGCCCAATGAGACACGTAAAGCACGCACCTTGGATGTCCCATGGCTCGAGCTTGTTGAGGTCGACGTCGCGGATGACGTCCAGGTCGATGCGCTCCGACGCCACCTTCTTCTTCAGGTAGTAGGTCAGCAGCTCCTCCTCCGTCGGGTGGAACCGGAACCCCGGCGGCACCACCGACTGCCCGTTCACCGAGATGCTCATGATCGATCGATCGGCCACCAAGCAGCTATAGTGGCTAAGAGTATGAGGAACTAGCAACAAGGAAGAAGAGAAGAGAAGAAGAAGAATGGTCTGTCTGTGTGTAGTGTCAGAGTACGATGATTCAGACGTCGACTACCGCCATTTGATATATGGATGGCAGAAGAAGAAGGAGCTAGCAGTAGTAGCAGGCAAAGGGAACGAATGATCGATGATGTGATTGTATTCGGCCGGAGCCGGAGCTGGTGATGGGGGCCGGGAAGCCGGGTACAAGGAAACAAGCTACAATGGAGGTGGTTATATATAGCTCCCGCTGACACCGCCTAGTGGGATTAGTTTCGCCAGGCTAGGGAAGTGCCACCAACCATGAGAGAGAGAGCAACCAAAGCTGTGGGACCCCGGCCGGCCAGCCATGGAACCGAGCAGAGAGAGGGAGCATGAAAGAAACGGAACAAGGAGAGGGAGGCCCGGCCGCGGCAGCTAGCGCAGAAGAGGAGCGGCGAAAGGCGAGCGGCCGCCATCGACTGCCATGACGCACGACCTTAAAAATCTCTGAGAAAAGCACGCCTGACGCCCCGGCCGGGGTGAAATCTGCCCATAATGTCGGGCGCACAACAAAACCACCGCGGCAACGGCAACCACCACACACTGCTGCTGCAGTAACAACATCCATACCATTGGTGGCATTGGCAACAGCAACAGAAAGGGATATGCTGTGCTACCTCTTCCTTCCAGCTGGCCTACCTGTAGTTCCGGCTGTATCCACTTTCAACTTTCAAGGTCTTTCAAAAAAAAAACTTTCAACTTTCAAGAGTACGGTTGATGATTTTGTGACATAAGTAGCAAGGCCTTGTTTAGATTGTCTCAAAATTCTAAGTTTTTTCACTCTCTCTCCATCACATCAATTTTTAGACGTATGCATAGAACATTAAATGTAGGTAAAAAAATAACTAACTACACAGTTTGGTTGTAAATCACGAGACGAATCTTTTGAGCCTAGTTAGTCCATGATTGGACAAAGTTTGTCAAATACAAACAAAACATGCTACATTGTCCAGATTACAAAAATTTACAATCTAAACAAGGCCCTAAGCAAGAAACAAGAGAGTGTGTGAATGAATATTAAAACCAGCTTCGGTTGCACTTGCAGCTAGCTGCTTCCGCTTGTTGCTGCTGGAGAGAGAGATGAAAAGAAAAGGGTTTACTATATAGTACTGGTTTTGGTTGCATTGCACTTTGATGGACAAAAAGATATATAGTACTGGTACGAACTAGTAGCATAGCAGGCTATCAGAGAATAAGGCCATGTTTAGTTCCCTCATTTTACAAAATTTGGCACTATGTAAAAAGAAGATTTTCCATCACATCAAACTTACGGTACATGTATGGAGTACTAAATGTTGACGAAATCAAAAATTAATTGCACAATTTGGTTATACTTTGTGAGACGAACGTTTTAAGCCTAATTAGTCAACGATTGGACAATTATTACCAAATAAAAACAAAATGACACTGTAGCTACAATGTAGCTAGAGTGATTCGGCCGACGCCGAATCGAACGAACTAAACGCGGACTAAGCTACACACAGCAAGCAAGCCAACAATAGCTTTTTGACTTATTGTTCAGGAAAACGATAAAAACGTATTTCTCTCACGCGCATATGCATGTTTTTGTTGCCGCGGTTAGTTCAGTTGTAGTGTTCATCACTTAAATCTTTTTGTGCAAATTTGTCTCCCCCATCTCTCTTTTTTCCATGATGTATGTGCAAAAGAGCGCAAGGAAATCGATGGGCCAGCGGGGACTCCATCGATGGATCAATAAAAGAAATAAATTATCCTTGACAGTAATCGCCCCCAGATTAGTCATCACACGTGAGAACAACAGGTGCTGACTTTTAACTTCCAATTATTGTCTAGTAGTTAATAAATCCGCCAATTAACTGTGACTAAAAAAACATAGGGACACTGACATTTCGTGATGCACGGTTTTTATTGTTTGCAAGTTGTTGTGCTTACGTATATTGCTTTATGGAAAATGGGAAAGATCCAACTACTTGATAATTGGGGAAACACTTGTTCATTTAGACTTTTTTTAGCCAGGAAGGCAAGAAGCCTAGCTGCTTAAGGTATCGTTCGGCTGGGTGGTTATTTGGGAATCATTCCCAGCCAAACGGTTTCTTTGAAAATTTGTATAGCGTCGGAACCGTTCCACCGTTCCGGAAGAAACGAACGGAGCCTAATTAATTACTATATGGATTCAATCCACATTGCTGCCATGCTTCCATGCATACCTGACCTAGTATTATATATCTCCAAGCTAACACCAATAGTCCATATATAAATAAACAGGTGGCTGCAGCAATTCTTTTGACAAATTGGTCTGGTTGCCGTACGTGCATTTATGCATCATTGAAGGTTTCTTGTGTGTCACAGATTTATTAAACATCACGATGTATGATAGTAGTAGTACTCATTTTTTCTATTATCGAAAATGGACACTTGCTTGTATTTCACTGAAATTATATTATAAATAAAGCTAGTGGCTTGTTGTTATATCCTACTGGTAGTATTTGAATTGTTGTCGCTCATGCGCCATAGGGTTGAGTACTCATAGCCATAGGATCTAGCACCGTAGCTTGCAACATTGCTTGAGGACACTAAGTTATTCTTGAGATTTGGAAGTTCAAAAAAAAATTCTAAGAAAATAAATTGGAAAAGGCATGGGAAAGCATGCTAAGGAGGTTTAGCGTGCGTTTGGTTCGGAGACGTGATGGGATGGGATGGACCGAACCTAGTTTTTAGGGATGGAACGATTTCTCTTCTATGTTTGTTAAGAGGATGGAGTGGTCACAGTTTTCTGTTTGATATGAGGGATAAAGGGAATGGGATGGATAACGTATTCGACATCGTTGTGCACTGTTTGTAATTAATGAGACCCATGTATTAATCTCTAGACCACACTATTTCTCTTTTATATACAAAAAAACTCCTTCCATGGCCCAGGTGGCATCGCTGCCACGCCCCCACGCGGGCCACACACGAGCTCACTGGAGCGCTCCACCGCCCTATGCAGGAGCTCGACGACAGGGAGGATGAGGACGCCTCAACCGCAAGCTCCATGATGGAGACCTCAAGAACTCCGGTGTCACGCGAGAGCTCACCGTCTACATGATGTCCGCCCGATAAGATCCGGTCCCATGACCTATAGTCGTCATGTCTACCAATGACCCTACTCGGCACGGCCACCGCTATGCCCAATGCTGACCACACCTACCCTACTCAGCCCGTTCATCACCTTTGCCTTGGCCTCGGCCACTCGACCGAGCGAGACAGACACGCAACGACGTGGATAAGGGACGAGGTTGTCCCCTCGATTTGGAGGGATGGGATGACCCCAGATCTGGAGGATATTTCCTCTGGGGACGGTCCGATCCTATATCATCCCCATATGGAACACCACGAAAGACGGTCTCACCCTAACCTATCCCCCGTCGTCCTCCCAACCAAAGACTTGTAGGCTTTGAGTATGGTTGAAAATTGTAAGCTGAAATTTGGAAAAGTCAAATCTATATGGTGCAACCTTCTTAATAAATTTGGTTTGGAAACCTTTTTGTAACTACTTCGGATCAAGTGAGGATTTATCATGAGAAAACCAAGATGGAGCTAGGAGTGGAAGTGATGGACAATGACGGTTTTTAAAAAAAACTGTAACTCGAGATTGATTCTTTTTTGCTCAAAAACCTTCTAAGTTGGGTTGCTAGATCAGACTGAAAATTTCTGATGAGAAGGCGAGGGTGGATCGATCTAAGGTAGATGGGGATGGCTTTTTCTGTGTGATGTTTAAAAAAAATGCTTGAAACCTTAAAAATTTGGGTTGGAAACTTCAAAAGTTTAGGGCTTGAGTAAGCTTGGAAATTGCAATGTGAAATTTGGAAAAATTTAAGTTGGGTTAATTTGGAAGCCTTTTTGCTAGCTCGGTGTATTGAGAATTTCTAAGGCCAAGGTGTAGGTGGCTGGTGGATAGGTAGGGTTCTTTTTGGAATAGTAAGTTGAGAACAATGATTTCTTTTTTGCTCATAACCTTCTAATAAGTTGCGTTGAAAACTTTTCTCTCTAGTTTGGATTGAAAATATCTCATGAGAGGGCCAAGGTGGAGCAAAGGTGCAGAGAGATAGACACAAGCAAAGCTTATTAATTTGTTGTGACATTGTATTGCGATACTTGGAAAAAAAATGCTTTGAAACCTTCAGAAGGTACTAGGTTGGAAACTTTTCACTAGTTCAGATTGGAAAATTCTCATGAGAGAGGCAAGGTAGAGATAGTAGTGGAGCCGTGGAGGTGGATAGACAATTAATGAGGAATATTTTTTTTTTGAAATTGCTGTGTGATATTAGGAAATTGTTGGCTTGAAATTTCCTGCTAGTGGGTTATTTTCTGCTGGTAGGAATTGAAAGTTTCTTTTGATGGAAAAGATCAAGGTGGAGCTAAGTTGAGGTAGATGTACAAGGAGGAATTTCTTGAAAAAAAAATATAAGGTGTGATTTGTATTTTGAACTTTGGTTTTGAAGTAAAAATTTTGAACTCGCAACTAGGAGTGGGTGTGGACACATGGACAGGGAGGAACCTTTTTTAAAAAAAAATTGTAAGGTGGAATTTTTTTTTTTTTTTTGCCAAGTCCTCCTTATGATTATAAATTTGGGTTTCAAATTGAACTTTCCCACTGGTTCATGCATGTTGAAAATTCCTCATCATAGTTAGTTATTGTTCCCAACTTCGAAACTTCCCTTGTGGATGCCGAGGATACCGACCTCGACCGCTGCCGCTGTAGTCATCATCAGATCAGTGCACCACACACACAGTCACAAAGAGACACGCTGACACGCACGCACACGGAGCGGGCGGGCGCACCCATGCCGCCATGCATGCATGTACGCTTGCGGCTTGCCCATCATCATCATCTACATGGTGACAAGCGACCGGATCACTGGAACGACCGGCGATCC